CCCTCCCCACCCCCACCCCCAAACCAACCTCCCTCTTTCCCAATAACGCACAACCATATTTTGCATTCTCTGAATTTGTCTTGCTTAAGGTAGTATTTATTTCCACCCCTGTCGAATTACTCAATGCTACAATGACAATGAGATCACTATATGGCGATGACCTTATTCAGACAAAACGTGAGCGAGAATCCAATGTCTTGCCGTGGAGTGAGCAATGTACAGATTGAAGTAGCTGTAGTTGTGTGTGTACGTGTGACGGTGTCTACTATCAGCAATACTCTCAACTGACTCCCATACTCTAACCTATCACACTATTTTCTGTCACATTATTAAATATATATATGCGAATTATATACACAGCGCAAATAACTGTGCAAGTTCATATTTTCATTGCTACTTATTATAGTAAGTAGTGTGAATTTTGCTAAATCTGTTAAAGGGTGGTCGAATAATATCAAATTGCTTCTCATAACTGTATTTATGCCAAATTTCTGTTTGGTACTTCAATCAGTTATGAGAAGAGCCGATGATCCTTAGAATCGGAGGTTTGTCTCATGTCGAAATTGCAATACCATTGTTGGAAGAAAGACACCATTATTGGAATATGATTCTTATATGTACCATTATGGACTACGATTATCCTTACATAGTACTCGTTGAAATTTTCGATTCAGCACAGAAAACTTTTAGGCCCCTTCCCCCATTGCTTGGAATATGCACCAGTAGATAGCATTACACCAAGGTACAAACCGATAAAGCAAATGCTTCACTTTTAGAACTCTATTAATACATGATAAACCCATGAGACTATAGAAAGTCTTTCAGCACTACCACATAAATGATTTCTATAAGAATACGAGTTAGAACTAGCTTAAAGTTAGGTCAGTAAGCGAATGCATTTCCAAATAACGAAAATCCGCAGTCATTTGTAGAAAATTCACTTTATTACAATGCTTTGATGGTAATATTTGTGTTAACAAGGGATCAGCTTCTTTTTCTCAAGAACCTGAAGCCAGTTGCATTTCGAGTTGAGAGAGACGAGCGTAGACTTCACTTGGCATACGATATGGAATTCGTCCCACGAAGGTGACCAAGGCTCTTGTCCGAGTTCTAAGCTCAGCCAGGCATAAGGAGCGTCCGCTGGTGCCTAGACTAACTCCAAAGGTGATTGGTGAGCGGCCGAGGGATGTGCCACGCTCTCTAGAGGAGTAAAAGAAAGCGACATTATATCGACTACTAAGTTTTAGCATATCAGTGGCATGAAATTGAAAAAAAGCATCATCTGAAAGATTTAAATCAATTGGAGTTATTATGTATATTCTGTGAGTAAAATATAGAGTATTATTTTGTAATGTTTAACGTCAATATAAGTTGTAAAGAATACCACCACATAAATGAAGAGATTGGGTGGGTGGATTGAAGGAAATGTGTTCCTGATTTCAACCGAATAATCAGTAAGAACTTCAAACCGATTTTTTGGGAATAAAGTACCAACTCTGTTAAAAATTCAGAGTATTAAATTTCTAAAAGTAGACAAATGAAAATGGCGATAGGTGAGAGTGGGCGACCCCTTAATCCATACGCTTTAGCTTAGCCCAGTAAAGTTACAGGTCTGTTTCTAGTAGGCATGGGCCTTTTATTGGATGTCTTTCAAACGAAAAGAACTGGTTAGAGAAATGTGTAATAGAAACATACAACTGACCTTGAAAACTGGTCTCAACTCGTAAGCTACTGCTCAAGTACCTCATTTACAAAGCCGCAATAAATATCAGATGTTTTCACTCCTCTCCAGAGTGATTCATGGCTGATAAGGCTTTGAAAACGCGGTCTACATACCAACCCAAAAAGAAGACCACAATTGTTCATTCAAACGCAAATCGCAAGGAGAAAGATCTCTTCAACTTCAATCACCAATATTTCGAACTCGATAAGCAAGATAAGCAAGGAGTAGATTTGCACATTGGTAAATTAACCCCAATGGCCAGAATGGTCAAATAAATAGGGGAAACTTAACAGAATAGAGAAGAAGTTTCAGAAGGAAAGGTGTGTGCCTTCGTTGCCGCCCCGTAATCAAGTTTCAATTTCGATATTTAAGGTGGATGGAAAACTCGAAAGATGTAATTAAGTTCCCTTTCCACCTAAAAGGGCTGCAAGTAAGCGCTTCCACCAAACGCAAGTGTATATTACCCCTTTGTCAGTATAACGGGCAAGTAGGAAATGCATTTACTTCAAATTGGGGAACAAAATTTGAATGAGAAAATGAGAAATGAAAGACCGTACTCTGCTGATTTTGCTGTAGCCGCTTTCATAGCCAGGCACCTCATGAGTACAAGGACAGCAGAAGGCAAGGGCCGACGCACAAGGTCAGAGAGAGTTGAAAATGCCGCCACTTTCATCTCCACTTCCTCACTTGACGTGGGTAGAAGGCCTAGCCTATCCATATGATCAATCGCCGTCTGGTATTGATTTCCCGATGAGGCCAGATCAAAGAACGTGGCCAAGTCTAGAAGGTAGTAGAGGGTCTGCGCGGCGGATTGAAGGGATGGAGAGATGGCCTCGGAACCGCTCAGTCCAGTTGTGGTAATTGGATCGATGCGGCGGATGCTGTGGCCAACCTGTAAAAGGAATAATACATGGAGCAGTAACAAGGGAATCAATTTCGAACTACTAAATTAATCTTTAACAGTTACTGTTAAACAATAAAAATTATTATTATTTCAAATGGCAGGCTTTATGATATTTATCATTAGCCCCTTAGTTGACTTCAACTTTCACAAGGGGGTGAGGGGGGGGGGAGGAACATCAAAGTGAGAAAAATTCGAGAGGGAAAAAAGAAAAGTGATACGAGGATGTAAAAGAGATAGACAAACAGACCCAAAGGCAAAGAAAATGTTAGGTGAGTACTGTGGAAGTTTTGCCATCCAAGGTCCCCCATATTCACAACCTTGAGGCGTAAAGTGCTCTAAATTCTTAACAATGCGGCCAAAATGCTGACTATTAACCCCCAATTTGAAGAAAATGTTGAACTACTTGAAAATAAATTAAGCAGTAATTGGCTTGGATGACATTATTAGTACACTTTGACGTGAAATCATCTCAAAAGGTCCTAAAAACGCTATTCATCTTTCTATCCAAGGTCTGTCGTTAAAAGTATAGCTTTTATTTAGCCTATCGATGTGAAATCAAATATTAAGGGAAACATACCTCAGCAGCCAGTCGTAGGATACTATCTCTGTCCTCTTTTGGTGTCGTGCCGCTTGCAGTACCACTTCCATCATCCAAAGCCACAACACTAACCAGTAGATTAGTTAATCTAACAGCTGCGAGCAGACTTTTGGCCTCTCCAGCCAGTAAGTAGACGCCCACAGCCTGGTATGATTGACCCCTCGCTTCCAGCATCTCTGCTACGGCAGTAATGAGGCTAATTGGAGACGCGACACTTGTAAATCGATCAATAACTCCAGGTTGACGTATAATACCCCCACTTGTCTGTGATGACCCATCAGCTTGACGAGCCAATCGACCCAAAAGAGAATCGAATTCACCGGTTTGAATGGCCAACTCAGCGACACATTGAACAAAGAGATTTGATCCACGAGTACCGGCATTAGGGTTTTCTTTCACACCATCAGGAATAGCAGGAATATCATGAAGAAAGTAGTAATAGTTGACACAGAGAGCTGGATTTCCACCGGATTCGAATTTGCGAGTGTAGAGAAGGAGAAGGCGGATGAAATTGAGACGTCTAATTCCAGATGGATCAGAGTCCACTCGAGAAACTACACAAAAAAGAGCATTCAAATTAGTATTTACATCCCCCTAAACTTGTGATATATTTTTTTTAAATAAGCTACATACCCAGCGGAGCCTGCTTCGATTTCGGCAGAAGGAGAAGCTTCAAGTCACGAAGCACGAGAGCCAAGTGTACAGCATGGCAGCGTAGGCCTTCGATTCGTGAGAGGAATCCCAGGGCGCCTTCAAATTGTTGGCTCAAGCAGAGGATTTTGAAGTAAGTTAGAGGTTGGTTCCAAGCGTCGAAATATGCCTCGCCTGAAACACGCAAATGGATACACTAAAAGAACTTGATTAAAATTATCAATGATTGAGGAAAAAGGAAAAAAATGGTCATAGAAAGCAAGTCAGAAGTAGAAATGACCAATCACTTAATGAGGATCGCTTAACGAATATACCAAATAGGCCGAGCACAATTTTGCTAATATTGTCAAAAAACGAACCCATTCTATCAGAAATGAAACTTGGCCATGAACTTCGTATTATAAGTTCACTCTAACGGTTAAAATAGAAATATGGCTTCAAAATATGGAAAAAAGGGTGAAAAAGGAGAGTAATTTGGAATTACGAAAATAACATAATTTACGAATTACATTAATGAGAGTATTTGACCAAGAAATCAAATTTGGAAACAAATTACTTAGTCTTGCCAGAATGTATCCCGATATATGATCCATTTTGGAGGTAGTATTGCCTTTTACTAATTAAATTATTTTCTCCAGATAATGTTACCAAAACACCACGTCGAGAACTAATCATAGAAACTGAATTTGTAAATAAATATTTATTAAACACGACTACGAAGCAAGCTTTTATGAAAAAAATGAGTAGTAAAGGAATGGTGACATTAAAATAAACAATAAAAGAATGTTGACTAATATTGAAGGGATATTTCTTCTGTTTTAAACTAATTAAACATGGTTAATTCCAGTAAAATCAAGGACAATTTATCACTAATACGAAAACCGAGGCAACAGATTAAAATGAATTATAAACTATAAATAAAGCTATTCAACAATGTTAGTTATCAAAAGACATTATACAACTCTAGACGACTTACAACCACGTGGTGCACCCTGAGCAATGCATACTCATACGGCAATAAAAGTCTATTATTCGGCAGTTGACTTCTCACTTCAAACTACTATTATCTCACTATATGTCATATTTCCCAAATTTCACAGTATTCATCTTACCTTTTCTCTACCTTTGTGTTCGTCTGTCTGTTACATCTGTGAATCATTATTCTGTCCCCCCTCTCGACTTTTTGTCACTGATATTCCTCCTCCTCTCTGTGAAGCTCGAAGTCAGCTAAACGGCTAATGATAACTTTAAAACGTCTGCCATTTGAAATAAATAAATAAATAACTCTAGAAGATAACATTGAAACCTACTCATAAGTCCTATCACTTCTGCCAAAGTTTGGTTAATGCAGAGACCAGGTTTATGCAATAATAGTTGGAATACAGTATGCCAACGGTCTTATCAAGCCTCACCATAGGTTTCATAAAGAAGATTTTGCAGTTGGCCCAGCGTGAGAGTTTCGATATCATCGTGTCTATCAAGAACATCCTCGTTGGTAGAGATTTGAGAGAGTCGAAGCCACAA